CGTGGTCGCGGGCATGGTCTAGTGGCTATGACGTCTGCCTAACACGCAGAAGATCCCGGGTTCGATCCCCGGTGCCCGTATGAAGTCGTCTGCATTTCGTTCCCTTTGTAATTGTATATGCAGGAATATCAGTAATGCTTCACCCGGACACATGTATCCTTGTCTAACAATCTGGGTGTGTAAATAACAGACAAACTAGGTTATCCAGCTGGATAGCTAGCTAGTTATCTTACTTGCTGGCTGCTGGCTAGGTGTTTTATTTACTTGCATCCACATAGCTGGATTACAGACAAGACCCTTTCATACAAGTTTCTTCCTTCCCCCACACTAAGGAAGGGCGACAAGAAAGAGAGGATCCATGCATATTTGTCTGAGTTAATGCAAAGCGATACATTAGTGGCTAACAGGCAGTAGCCTGCCCACACCTTCCAGGAGCCCTAGCCATAACACATGGAGTACTATCAACTTCATATGAGTGCGTCTGCAACCCTTGGCATATTACTTGAGTAGGGATATTGACGCGCGTATGAAGCATCTTGAATGCAGGATAAACACAAACAATTAGAAACGGGAAAAATAACTAGATAGCAGCAGCTGCAGCACCACCACAGGAGACCGCAGCAACAACAACAGCATTAACAACTAGAAGGTAGAAAGAACAACTATGTTGCATTTCCTCGCCATCTAACTATATAAACTGCCTCCACAGATGCGATAACCGACAGCCCCGCGTTCGAGCCCCAGTGCTGCTTCATCGCAGCCTTTGTTTGCTTTTTTTATTACATGAAGAAAGCCATTATTTACCCCAGATGAAGACTGTGACTGCCTCAGTTAGGAGGATTGTCTGTGACAGCTCAGTGTGTCTATGCGCGGCAGCAGCAATATATAGATAGCTCAATGTACCCATGAAATGTATGGTAAACAAAATGGGGATGCAGGCGTTCGCGGGCATGGTCTAGTGGCTATGACGTCTGCCTAACACGCAGAAGATCCCGGGTTCGATCCCCGGTGCCCGTATTGTATTGCCTTGTTTGTTTGCTTTCTTTTTGCTGTTGAATAGCTTGTTAAGTTGTCTCTTTAATGAGTTTCAACTGGGGCCCACATCCGTAGCTTGCTGCCTATATAGCTGTTGAATAAAAACGTTGCTTAGTATACACCACGGCTTGCTAATGAACAAGAGACCTGGTGTATGCTGCTTACTTCTTGCGTTTAGCTAGAGGACGGGCAGAAGGGGCAAAGGGGGCCTCATCTCTTGCACCTGTCGCTTGTAACAACTGATAGACGAGGCGTTATATGGACTATTATTATTTATAATCCCTAAGGCCTCTCCTTACGAAGATGATTCTGAGTTAGTGGCAGTAAAGGGAGTTCAGGAGAGAGGGTGCTTATACTTTATTTGCTGCTCTGCCTGCCATGTGGGCCTTGCTGCAGCTTTCTTGTTTATGCAGTTTCGTTTGTTGTTCTAGCTAATATAAATGATGCAGCCACGTGATGAAGCCCCTCATGGGCATGAGCAGCAGCAAACAGCACCGTACCAGCAGCAGCAGAAGCAGCAACAGCAATAATGCATCTCGAGGGCGAGCAACAGGTGCAGCAGAAGCAGCAGAAGCAGTAGCAGCAGCAGAAGCAGCAGCAGCGATAACAGCCGAAGCGGCAGTGACTCAACTACGTTTGGCTGAAGGGCAAGAACTATAAACATAATCATTGTCTGTGCTCTTGAAGGCTGCAGTGTATGGTTATTAAGGCTCATAGAGAGAGGGCTGTCTGTTGCCTCTAACTAACAAACAATATATGCATGTCCCTGGGGTTACGGATAGGTTGTTTACTCGTGAGTAGATAAAGCCACGTATTCGCGGCTAACCTGTTGAGATGCAGCGCTGCTGTCATTGCTGCTGCTCTTGCTGCAGCGCTAGTCCCGCTGGAGTTTTCATTACTCTGCATCAGCTCGTGCTGCTGCTGCTTCCCTTGCTGCGCTCTCCGCAGCTGCAGCTGCAACTGCGTCTGCTGATGCTGCGGCGGTGGCTTATGCCGTTGCTGCAACTGTCCCTGGAGCTGCCGCTACAAATGCTGCAGCCCAAAAAGTTCCCTAGTGTCGCTGCTGCAGCTGCTGCAGCTACTGCTGCTGCTGCTGCTGCTGCTGCAGCGGGTGCA